TTGCCACGGAGGCTTGCCAGCGTCGCTTTCCATATTCTGTTTACTGTTAGTAGAGAGTTTTAGTAGAGCGTTCCCATGACTCCGATAACTGTACCCGATACTCCGCCACCGCCTCCCTTGCGCATGCATAGTATCGTTATCGGGGCTATCGGGGGTATCGGAACGATCTACTAAAACTCTCTAGTACCTTTTTTTTTGGAATCCTCAGTCTTCTCAATGCACCCACCCTCCTTGAAATTGTAATGCGTGTTCAAGTTTCAAACTGCATCACTATGCATACATTTTTTTCAGCGGTGTAATAACTTGTTATTACAGAGTTGTAAAATAAAGTGATGTATGATGCAGCCCGTGTCTAAGAGCAAACATACCTTGCTCAGGCTGGATAAATTCTTCCAAAAATGTTGACTTTCTCTTATCTTCGTTGTTTTTGCTATCTTGTCTCAGAGCACAAAAGGGTGCCTGTCTCGATGGCTTCGTTTGCCACTCGAACCCGCTATTTGCCGCCTCAGCGAGCATTGTTTCGTTTGGTTCCCTATCCCGATTCGGATGTGACGATACTGGATACAGACTGGCAGACAAGCTGCCCGACCTTTTGGAGCTCGGGAAAACTTCTGCTGGTAAATTGCCAGTACACGCCTGTGAAACGCAACCCGAAAAGCTTGCACCCGCCAGCCTTTGACCACGCGAACGCCCTTGCCGAAGATATGGGAAAACTTTTTTTCAGGGAAAATGAACACCCGAATTGGCCATTACAAGCAATAACACACGACTAGCACAATGATCCATCCACTCCAGACGACTACATCTTAACGACATTCAGCGACAGAAGAGAAATGAAGTACCGAATCTGCGCTATAGCATTTTTGAAACCACGTCACCATGTGACCACGTAGCTACGTCAACAGACTCGGGGTGGCACGCAGGCATAAGGAAAATTGTTTCATGTGCTATGCAAGAGATGGTGCCGCTTCGCATCATCTTCAACCTTCATCCTTAACTGTTGTTTCTTTCTCTATACCTCACTACGGTGTTCAAATGACAACGGGTTCAAATGAGAAAGGGTCGAAACGCGAAAGGTTAAAACGCGAAGGGCGTTTTGCGAATGGGTTCAGACGAGAAGGGTTCAAATGAGAATGGGTTCAATTGAGAAGGGTATAAATAAGAAAGGGTCGAAACGCGAAAGGTTAAAACGAGAAGGGCGTTTTGCGAATGGGTTCAAACGAGAAGAGCTCAAATAAGAATGGGTTGTTTCGAGATACACCCATAAGTTCTCGTTCTCAAGTGACATAACCCGAGAAGCAGAGCAATGGGGTACAACAACTTCAAGTGGGCGACGGGAGGCAAGGCCGGTAATTGGGTTGCAAAAAGAGGACAGGGAGAGCAAATCGCCCTCGAGTCGAAACCCCGCAAGAGTGCATCCGGGAGTTAGACGATTCAAATTAGAGGGGAAGAAACCGTGTACTTGGCGGCAAAAGACGAGGTTCAGAAAATCGGTTGTCTCGTAAGCCTGTGGGCGTTTGGGGCGACAATCACCAAGAACAGTCCCCGCAAAAAGCATTTGCTTCCTCCGCCGGACGAAGAAATGAGAAACGTTTAAAAGATGCTGCGCTTTGTTACATTTGCGAGCGCTGTGGCGATGCATTCTACACGGCGGGTGCGGACACAAACGTCCCCATCATCCCAGTTGGCGGGAACAGCTTGGCAAAAGCAGGGTCACCCAAAATGTACTTAATTTTTATTTTTATTTTTTTTTTCTATCGAACTCTAGACGGTTTCTGCAGCAGTTTTTGCTGTGCCCTTCCCGTATCAGGACTTTGGACTCTCTCATAATTTGCGAGACGATTTGGCGGTCGTGTTTGCAATATTTTCGCACATAAATCTGAGAAGTACCTGTAACGACGTTACTCTTTACAGTTACTTTCAAATATAGTACCTTGTTACAGTTACGAGTTATTTTCATTAAGCAGTAAAGAGTTACAGTTACAAGTTACTGAAGAAGGTAGCTCGATCGTTACCGGTAACGGGTTACTAGTAACTAGTTACTGCCCAAGACTGTAAATCCGACCGGGTGTATATTAGTGTCCCCGCCTGAATATAGCAGGCTGGCTCGCCAAGAACCAAATGGTGTTTCAAAAATCAAACAAAGAAATACAGGCGAGAATGCCGCGATTCTTTGATGTTTCTGACGACCACCGTGACAGCGGCGCTTCAACACAGACCACAGTGCGATCTCTTCCTTGACAAATTATGTCGCCTGCTGAGCCCTCCTCTTGCCTTTGTTAGGGTGCCTTCATGTGCGCTTTGCTTAGGGTGGAAACATCTGGCCATTTTGTCCCACTCTTTTATTTTTATTTTTTGTTCAGAAGCGCGTGAAAGAGCGTGTCCCTGCACACGTTTGTGTCACTGACAGTGCTATGGCGACATTTTGTTTTCATCGATTTCTTTGTATTTTACCCGTGAGCGCGTGCTGTCGGCATCGGGTACTAGAAAGGTTGGCATCACCCTAAACAGAAGGACATTAAGGCACCCTAGCCTTGGTAGTTGGGATACTTTATTCCCTCAGCTTGCTACATGTGTAGGCAGTACCTCGTTTAAGAAGGGCTTTCGACTCGCGCAGACATCCTCCCCAGCTCGCGCTTCAACTCTCCCGACGGGAGCAATTACACGACCCTCGTAGTTACTGAGGCCGCCAAAACAACAGCTACAAAAAAGCACAGTTGCATGAATAAAAAAAAAGCTAAACGAAATCCTTGAGCCCCGTGGGAAACATCACGGCTCATAATAGTAGCAAAACGAAGAAGCCGGTTGACTGGTTGGACAAAAACAGTGCGCTGCGCTTTTCCCCGCATGGTCAACCCGCGAGGGTCGTATGAAATGGCCCCAGGACAATGACCAAGCAGGAGAAGAGTGTTGTGTACCACAAGTGTTGTCTACCACGGCCACGAGCCCGCTGAAATCGAAACCAACCAAATTGAAACCTCGTTATGTGTCAACGCCCTCTGTCCACCGGTCAGGTAACTTCAGAGATGGAAAGGTTCCAATTAAGAACTTGGTAAGCGTCATTGAAAACTACTAAATCAATCAATTTTAGAAGTACTCTGAGCTCATGGGAAACGTAGTAGTGCACTAGAGGTACCACTCGTGCAACAGGTACAAGGCTGGGGCTATGATCAGAAACGGAAAAAGTCGTGCAGCCGCGTTATCGCACAGGTTGCGTCGATCCTGCTGCACGAGTGGTAACTTTAGCGCACTACTGCGTTTCTCAAGTGCTCAAAATGTGCATCAAAATTATTGATTTAGTCGATTTTGATGACGATCATCTAGTTTTTTTTATTATATTTTGTTGGGTCCATGCGTCTATTTTCACTAATTACAAGTTAACTAACAAATTTCACCTAATTAGCAGACAGATCGCTACGATTAGCATTTATACTATGTCCCCTTGGGTGTATAACTCACCTGCACAAACCGCGTGAGTCTAACTTTCAGAAAAGATTTTTAAACAAATCTGCTAATATTAAAAAAAAAATGTGCAAAGAAGACGTGTGAAAATATAATGTCACGAGTGGAAACCAAAGGAAAAAATAAATAAACAGGAAGAAATAAACGTTTAATGTGGCGAACTTGTGCTAAAAATAAAAAGAGAAAGAAAGATAACAACAGGGCGTCGCGGGCGTCGAAGGCGGCGAAGCAGCACGGTCGAACGCTGAGGCGAAACTGGGACTGACTCGACAAGGTCGCGGGCAGCTGCTTATCTAAAGTGCGTCACTATCTCGAAAGTTCGGCAAAGAGGGTTCGAGCGTCACGCGCTCGGGGTGAGGATGAACTGGCACTTTCGAGAATAACAAGGCAGAGGGAAAGTTACGTCTGCTGCGAGAATGACCGGCAATCTTCCAGAAGACCGTGACCAAGCGTTGCCTTCTCGGCTCTGCGGGCGGCAATATTCTGCAGCCAAGTTTTGAGAGGGTATTCTGTTGCCCCCATAATTTATCCCTAGATTCAAGGTTGTTTTTTGTTTTTTTTTTCACTATGGTTGTTATACAAGTAAATCTTCGAAAGTTTCTTACACTTCACTTAGATTATAAACTAGCTTTTAAACTAAGTGCCGCCATTTGTCAGCCAGTGTGTTTAGTCTTTGCCGCTATTTTAGTAGCTACCTCCGTACGCGGTTACAATTCAAAACTTTAGTCAATGTTCCAAACAGGATATCAAGAGCTGCTTGTTTGCCGACAGGTCAATTCCCCAGTTTCGAAAGACCGTACACCACGTGCTTCGTACTTCGATCGGAATATTCTACCCAGAAGTCTGTGGGCTTCAGTATTGCCAAACTTTGGTTTTGAATATTCTGCAAATGTAAAAAACTTGATATATTTATAATAATTCCAGAATGAGTGTTCATCGTACATTCTTCCACAAATGATAGTATGGCTAAAAATAATAGAGCAAACAAACAATCCTTTTCACTGTTCTCTTACGAAAAAGCGTTCTTCCTTACTATTGCAAAGTGTATATTGTGAATGGTTTCTTTTTCTTTGCGTAATAGCATTAAAGTTTATCATACAAGGCATTTCGCTAAAATGTGTGGCACAAGGTATTTTTACCAACTTAGCTCTTTTTACATTTTTTTTAGCAAGCACGCTTTTTAGGCACATTTTCCTTAGCTTCACAAGCACCCATTGTTGTCATGCCTTTTATCAGGTCCAAGTGTCGGAGTCGAATTGTTTGGAGTAAGATCATGCGTAGCAGGTGTTAAAACGTCAATCCATTCAAAATCTCTTCACTTTTGCAAGTCACATTATAAAGCGAACGACGCGCTCTCTTTGTCTATTGTTGTTATGGGTGACAGTGTCTTAACTCACACAACCTCATGTATAAAAAGGGGGATTACTTACCGCTTGCAGACAGAGACAGCGCTAGCCTTTTCCTCGGGACGTACCTTAGGCTGACATCGCACAAGTTTATCGTTTTTTTTAGATTTCACTCCTTAGCGAGAACCGATAATGCCGGCCATGAGACTTCTCATTGTGACCGTCGCTTGTTTAGGTAAGCCCTCAAACGTTATATATTATTGCTTCACGTGAGATATCTCTGTTTATTTGTGCTCTACTCAGCAGGTCAAATAACGTGCGCTGAACTCAATCCTGCATTGAAGAGATGCGAAGACAAAGTATTCGACGATGTAAGTGCATTTTCATCGCTCATAAGCAGTGGCAGCGTAGTCAAGTTCTTGTTTTATTAAGCCTTGTTTGCATGTACGTACTTGAATGCATTTTTCGCGTAGGTTTCAACTCAGTGTTTAATTGCTGTGCATCTTTTACACTGAAGGACAATGTGTTATCATAAACGACAGTATGAGCGCAGTGTCACTCTTTCTTTGCATATAAAGAAGCGTTCATAGAACTTCACCACGCTTCTTGGAGAAACACTCTTGAGCACACGACACTACACTGCTTGTTATGACAGCTTTTTAGGCGCGAGAGAAACTTGAAAACCATAGCACTAATCTCTGAATAACTGAATCTGGTACTGGATATCATAGGTAAAGCACACTGCCAATGCACATCGCAAGTTTATTTGAACTGTCTGGAATAATCTGAAACTAGAAACAAACGGGCTTAAGAGTCTATGTTTCTTACGCTATACCGCTTCTTATTTCAAACGCATCACAGTGCGTTCGCAGTCCATGGGCAATTAGAAAATTCGAAAAATATTTTAGTGTTCTGTATACTTCGTTGTTGTGTGAGTTAAAGCGCTGAACGAGAACGGACATGCAGTCCAGAGACGTATCTCCTTTATGCCGTCATATCCTTTTGGCGGCATAATCTTCACAGCTTGTACTTCCAACTAGCCCAAAAGCATACAATTCTATAGTTTTCTTGCCCATTTTTTATGAAAGTATAATTAATGTCCAGCTGCACTTCATGCTTTTCTTCTCGATATTTTAAACTTTTTCACATTTCCTTTACACTGCCTTATATGCTTCGTTCCTTCTTTTTGCATAACAAGCATAATTACATTGGAAGCATATCTTATTTTGACCAATTACGTTTTGTTTTCAAAAGGCACAGTTTAATATCGAGTGGACGTCTGATACCAATACCTGGTTGATATGATTTAATAGCTTTTTTATTCCTTTGACTTGACGTAAAAATCAGGCATTTACTTTATTTATATGACTCACATTAATTGATAGCTCAAATACATCCCTTTTCACGCTTTCTTTACTAAATTCGAATGTTATTTGAGAATAAGCGAAATATATATTTGTATAAGATAAGGTCCACCCACCCTGGAAAAAATACACCTGCTTTCTGAATGAAACCCCTACGGTTGCAGTGACTACGCCCTCAACATAATTTCTTATTTTTTCTGCTCTAAATTATGTTTTGCGTTTTGAAATTGTAGTCCTCTATTTTGTGAACTACAGAAAGGGGATGAAAGAGTGATTCCTAATCTAGGCACCTCTTATCGACTTAGAAGACCGGTTCGAAAATAAACATCAATTATCTTCACAAGTGCACTACTTTTTTTCTACGAATACGAATTAAAGTAGAATAAAAATATGTTTCAAAAACATTGCCATAGAGCGAAAGGAAACCAAAATCAAGAGCAAAAATGTATTTGTTTCTGGACCAAGCGGTGGTCAGTTCTTTAGGACATGACTGATTATAAAATATAATGATATAATGCATCCTGAACCAAAATTCAATATAAATTTTCGCTATTCGGAATGTGAAACAAGAAATCCAACTTCAGATGTTTTGTGAACCAGAAATCCAATCTAAAATCCTGAAATCCAGCTAGAATAAAAAGAAAGTCTTGTTCCAGAATCCAGATAGCGAACATTTATATTGAGTTTTGGAATAGGGCAGCACTAGAACTATCTGGACCGGTGATTATACCAAAGAAAATAATTTATCGGATTATTCTATTCTTCCTGGTAAGAGGCTAAACTAAGTGTTTGAAAGTTAGTGGAGCAAAGAATACGACGTACGCTAACAGATTTAAAATGTCGCCAAGCTAAACAATGGGAATTTTTATTTATTTATTTGCCTATACTGCCAGGATTTTTCTTTAAACGCCAAGTCAGAAAGTGTATACAGCACGAATGAAGGAAACAAAACATACCAATGCAATACAGGTTCCCTAATTGACTAAGAAATGTTTGAGTAGCGCGTCTTAAAAGGGTTACATTCCTAATTGAGAGGTATTTTAGGGAGAGTATTTCATTTGCCTATTGCGTTAGGGAAGAAAGACGATTTAAACAATGTTCGATGTTTGTTAGGTGATGGGTGAAGAAAGAATAAGCAATTAACACTAGGACAGCACAACCACATCTTTCATCTTTCAGAAAGATGTGGTTGTGTTGTTCCAGTGGTAATTGTTTATTCTTTCTTCATTTATCACTTGAACCAACACGCTCTTCTCCCAAGGATGTTTGTTAGTTCGCGTTTAGTTCTTGTAGCACTAGCTTCGTTAATGCCGAAGAATCGTTTAGGCACAGTCACAAATTGCCATGAACAGAATTATATAGAAACTTAAACCGATCTGTTCTTCGTCGTGTCCCTAAATCACGCACTCCCGACCGGGCATTTAATTTGAATATTAACGACAGAAAATTGTGAGCCACTCCACTCTGTGAAGGTGGTTTGACAGCGAAGCTGTAGCGCTCTACCAAACATGTTTAACCAAAAAACACACCAAAGTACTCCAGCAAATGTTGATTCACAGTATATATACATCATTTTGAAACGGCAGTGATGTTTGCTTTCTGATCGCTATGATGACGCGCGTGGCAATATGTGTTAAAGGAACCGAACTTCTAGATACAAAAACGCGTATTTAAATTTATACTAATTTTAACTGTTTTAGTTCACTGCACTTTTTCGTCTGGACTACTCAACGACTGTTTTTTTTTGTTTCTCCTCTGCAAGAATTTGAAATATTGAGAACAAATATGCCTCGAGATTTTTTTAGTGTGATTTCAAATGTTCTTGTAATTTTTTTATCTAACATTCTATTATATAGCATATTTATGACAATCGTGTTCCTTATGTGAACTAGCCGGGATATTCGCCGAGCTGCACTTACACCTGCAAGAATGGAAATGTGACAGATGATACTGTTTATTGGGGGAATTATGAAGATGCTACCGTGTGTGTTGTAAGTACAGGGTCACAATTACTAAAATCTTGTTTGCCTTTATTCTCTCATTTGTAACCTTTATCCATATGTGCAAGGCATAACCGTGCCATACATATCGTAGTTCAAGATGACTGTACACCATTTATTGCATTTTTTAAATTAACGTATTTATTATTTATCTTGCGAGCCCTTTGTTCAAATATAATCATATAAATAATTTATTGAAACAAAAAAAAAACAATATTAAAATCAAACGTGTAGTTCAGCTTGTAAAGGCAGTCTGGTAAATCTTTTAACTTCTAATCTCTAAAATTGACATTCATTGCACAATCATACTGCTATCAGCGCCACTCATTTCAGCTGATCATTTTTTGAGGTGCAGTGTACTATTCCATTCTGTCAGAAGACATGCATATTTATATGCATAATCTAAAAGGAGGAATTATCTTAATGGTTGTCTTTCTTTGAGAAAGTTATCATGAAGGGCGCACTTAAAGTTACGGATCCATACGTGTTATACTACTGATTGAAAAATATTCACTCAATCAGGATTGTTTTTAACTGACTTCATTGTTGTAGAAGACAAATGTCCTTCTTCTATGTATTAATTTTTTTAGAATACAATAACTTTTCTCTAAAGAAAATTGTTTAGATCCGCTTCCAAATTCATTAAGGAAGTTGGACAACACATAAAATAATGTTAAGTCTGTAACAAAAAAAAACACCCAATGCAGTCGAAATCGCTAGTGCAGGTTATTCCTAACAAGCTCTCACTGAACATCATGAAGTTAGCTATAATTATACCCTGAGTCTTGTATTTTTGTCACCTTGCAAGTTCTCAAAACATTGACCTTCGGTTGCAATTTAAAACCAATTTGAGTATTTCAGGAAACAGGTTAAGCAATTTACAACGTGCACCACGATTACTGTTTCCGAACATCGCCTAAGTTGAAGGCACATGTAGATAGTACAAAGGCGGCGATGTTTCAATTAAAGGATGAGTTGGCGTCGACGACTTTTTTGTAACAACTCTGAGGGCCGTTTTCTGGCACCCTGAATGCTTTGCAGGAGGGAGCGGTGGTTATAATTTAACTAATTCATTTTCAAGCTGAAAAAATCTTTGAAGCGATTTTATCGTACATCTCCTTACCAAGTCCGTTGGCACGCAATCAATATTATTAAATTACAAGGTTTCATTTATTGTTAATTATTTTTTTACAGATGAACTTTCCGAGATATATTCTTTGATGGGCGTAAAGATGTTAGTTTTTTCTTGCGTCAGTAGCAGGGTAGGCGGGAAGATCGCTTGATCAAAAGTCTGATTAAACCAATTGTATGTTATCTTTCATCTGTGTTGTTTGTGTCTTCTTCACCCGGTATTTTTAGCTGTCTCAAAATATTAAAATTAAACACACGTAATGTATTTGCGAGCTAATTTTCTTCAATTTCTGTTCTTTTGGTTCACGCATACCACTCTTCCATATGCTCGATAATAGATTTAGTTGCAGAAGATTGAAAAAAAAAAAAAACTTTCTGAAGACCTACTGCGTTATAATGAGATACTTAGTCGAGAAGTAAACTTGCCCCAGCATTATGGTTGTGATATCCTGTAATATTGAAAGATATAATTTCAGTAATTATGATTTTGCGTGCTAGATTATACATTCTCACTTATGCAAAACATAATGTGTCACAGCTCAAAACAATTTATTTCTGACATTTTTTGCACCTAGTCATTATTTGATCGAAAGTTTCTCTATTCAGTTCCACAAAACATGACTGAATCAGAACGAAAGGAGTATTAACTCACGAATGAATAACTAGGTTCTTGAGTAAAAACAAGTGTATACTAACAAACACGAAAGCCATGTTTCTGCGCCTTATTGAGATCGATGGTTGAGTAGGGGTGCGTGCATTTTGTTCGAATATATTATGCTCCAATTTATTTCACGTCCGTCTTCAAAAAAAAGGCTATGCTGTAAAAACAAAAGTTGTTGAAGACAAGCAAATTTTTTTTTGAGCATATTCTAGAAAAATTTAGCTGTTTATCGGATTTCCGGAAACGTTTACCCAAACAATCGCCATTCTCATGGTAACGAAGTTGCTTCATAAGCGTCATTTTTAATACATCGCCGGCAAGTACTATATCGCTTAATCATGGTAGCCTGGACGTATTTCAGCAGCCGTGTTACCTACCTGTAAGATGATATTTCTTTATACAAAGTTTGCGCGGTATATTATAAAGTAATCTAATTACCTTGGGTTTCCTATCTATCCGCTTTGCCGCGCGAATTCAATATCGGATGCTTTGTGTTCTAAGATTCTTATTAATACCATGTGCATCATTATAGTTGCGGTATGTGAACTTACGAGACAACGTTTTTCCTCTAGGCTTTTCAAGATGGTGACCCTAACAAGTTTGATTATGTTGGGACTTGCAAAAACGGAACTTGCCTTGAATACAAAGAAGGTAAGTCGACATTGCATGTAAACTTAATATATATTATGTCGAGAATAACAAAAATTACGATTTGTATTATAACTTGTTTGGCACTTACCTCTTTGCCAAGTATGACTATCAATCTAACATGATGCCTCATTAATACCTCGAGCTGGCACGCGTAAAACGTTCTTGATCAGAGTTTTTCTACAAACCACCTTCTTCCAGCCATCTTTGCACGCTTCATATGGCCTGAAAAATCTAAAACAATTGCCCAACCATTGAAGCCATGATAAGATTGGAGATCTTGCCGAACTGTAACACATTCCAACAAAGACCATGACACAATTAAAATGAACGACGCAAAATAGATCCCCCTAAAGCACGAAGTAGAATGCTTTCTTTATCCTTACAACTTGTGCTATACTATTGGTTGGAGCGCTCTGCTTCGTACCCAATTCGGAAGAAGGACACAAATCGATAATTTAGGCTTAGGAACAAAAAGCTTTATTTACTTTGAGGAGGACAGAATGCGAAGCATCAACACACACGGGGCCATGGAGCGCGAAAGGAGCGCGAAAATGCACGTGGTGAGCTGTTCCTGGGCAGCGGGCACGTAATTATGGTAGCTGGTATTACGGGTATAGGGCAACATTGGGACTTGCAGAACACACTTGCTCGGAGGAGCAAGCGTGCTCTACAACTGAATAATTCTTTTTTCTTTTCACGTTTGTGACCCTCTTGAAGAAAAGCCTTCGGGCTAAGCGAGGGAATTTCTGAATAAAGAGAGAATAAATAAAGTGAGAACATGACCGCCAAGCAACACCCGTGTCTCCAGTGTTATGCGCCTCTACATATCTCGTTGTGTTCCCTTCAGACGGGATGTTTACCTGTCAGTGTAAAGAATTACAGGCAAAAGTTTCCCCTCGAGAAGGTTTTTTATTTGTATTTGAGAAGGGTAAAATAAATAAGGTTCTCCCCCAAAGGGAACATGGAAAATCATCACTTTGTTAAACATTAAAACAAAGTTGAGGTGTTGCGCGTGACAATGCACGCGGGATTGGTCCCAGAAGGATATTTGTTCTGATACGCTAATGATATAAACCTTTGGAAAAGTGAGAAAGCTCATATCAATCTTTTTTTAATTGGGTCAACCTCACTGCAGTTAAGCCTGATGTAACCCAATCTTGGTTATAAAGCATCATAGAGCTTGACCACGTCATGAGGATGATTCTGGTTGATAAGCTGCATTAGTGCATACTGCGGGAATTGGTAACGTCGCACTCTACAAAGAAATATTTAAAAAAAAGAATACTAGTTAAGCTGGATATTGCTATATGAGGAACCTTAGAAGTTCCTACTCTTATCTGCGAAGACCCTAAAATTAAAAAAAAAATATAAGAAGAGGCCATATCATTGCATCATTACTCACCATCAAAGTTTTTCTTGGGCGGAATTAACGGTGCCTCAAAATTAGGTCAATTTATCAGGCGATGGGTAGATCATCAAATATGGTAGTATAGGAATCACTTTACTTACGGTGTGTCATAATGAAAGAGGTGTGGAGCAGAAAGACGCAGTGGCGTGCTAAGGGAACAGATGACGTTTGATTTTGCAAAACTGCGTTGCGGCAGCCGATTAAGAGATATATTGCCGGTGCTTTTTGCCGTAGCTGCTACTGCTCTGTATGTCTATGCTATCCGCGAAGGCAGAAGTTTTGGGTCCCATTTCTGTATCGTTCCACACAAAACGGTACATCGGCTTAATTGAATCCAAACTAAATTTTTCAGTTTTGCTTCTAATACTGCATAAAACAAATTCATGTAAACCGCTTTTGAATGTTCACATTATTACCTCAAGTTTCCCCTTCGAGAAACAATTATCTCTTTCAATCAGGCCATAAACGGCTGAGCGTTTTTTTTTTATTGATATAAAGTTATTTCTAAAAGAAAACATTTCTTAGAGTGTGTTTCACTAGCCTAACTACTCAAAAGAACACCTGACGTGCATATACTGACAAGAATATTTATAGAAAGCTCCAGCTATATGTCCTAATTCTCGAGTTTCTCCATCATACAGTTTAAATTTTTTTTCTAATTGATTTGGTATAACCTAAGCGTTTCAAGGGTTCTTTTTAAACCGTATCCTATGCAGCGCAAAGCTGTCATTTCATACATTTTTGTTGCGACAGCGAACACTGAACAAGTATGGAAGACACTTCCCGAGACACAAGCCCAGTTTCATCACTGCGACTCCAAGTCAAGCGTGAGTTAAAAAACAAATAAATATTTATTTATTGTAATACAAGCCAGACGTACAGTAGAAATTAAGGTATTGTTAAACTTACTTCCCCCATTTTTATTTGTGGTTAATTAAGCACCACAGCCCACTGACAGTAAATGTTATATTCCACAGTGAACATTTAACTTGGAATTGAGCTATGAATCTCAGTGTATTACTACGTCAAAACGTTTTCCATAAAAACCGTATGCACAGTGTTTGAGCTAGTTTGTGCCAATCAGAATGAAGATAGGATGCATTCGACGCATGTAAAACCGATGCAGAATTGTTCACATTACTGTTAACCGATCCCAAATATTTTGGCGATGTGCTTAAGTGCCTATTTAACAAAAATGATTTAGCTAACTTTAGGAAAAAAAAATTGTGCTCAGACCATCCAACCCCAAGTAGCACAACACGCCGGGTTGGGGATGGGGCGGTATTGGCCTGCCGGGATAGCGATACCGGCCAGTACCGGAAACGCCCCAAGGGGCGACATCGGCCGGGCCCAATGCCGGAATCCGGCCGGTACCGGGACCTTATTGGGAAACCGGGATGCCGGGAATACGGGATGTTCCCAGCGAGCTCCCGACACAGATCCCCGGCATGGAACCGGTGGTACGGTAGGAAACCATCAGTGTGCCAGCGTGATTCCGGGTCAGAGCCAGTCCAATTGCGGATTAGTCCCAGCGTAAAAACAGATCAGTGCCAGAGTAATTGCGGGTCAGTGCCTGCGAAATTGCGGATCAGCACCAGCGTATGCGTCATTCAGTGTATCCAGCATAGAACCAGCAGAATGCTAGCTGTGTCAGGCTTTAAAGCCCAGGAATGACATCCTACTGCATTTTTGAACAGCCAACTTCTCAGTAGATCAAATTGACTTAAACGTGGAAATGCAAAATTTCTCAGTCCAAACCATTTTATTGGTTTTCATATCTTTTATAGGTGGTGACCGTTTTTAACATGTTTTTCGGACTTGAACTGAAAAAAGCCGGTTTAGTATTTGTGCAATTTTAAGAAACAATTCTGTGTGAACAATTGACTTTCTCCGTGTATACAGTATACTCATGGCAATTACTGTATACTCGTTGAGACGACATGTCCCATTCATCTGTCGCCCAGATGCATATTGTGGGTAGTACAAGAAGGGAACATACAAAATGTTTTTTACCGTGACATTCTTTATTGTGACTCGTGCATCCATAGCAGCTAGCTCCTCAGCCAGAGTGTCCCTCATCGTCAAAGGCGGTTGGAACCACCAGTGGAGTGTCCGTCTTTTTAACTCTATTGCCTTTGCCCGCCTCCCTGGCCGTCAGCCACTTCTGCACCGCGTCCACGCTGCACGAGTGCGACTTTGTATGGCACCTGTAAAGAGAATTGTCAGATCACACAGATTAGTTGAGAAATAGGGGAAGCCAATATCTTGCATATTAGCTACACACAAGGTGCTGTTCAAACACTGCAGTTTGCGAGCGTTTCCTTTGTGTAAATATGGGTCCCTCACCAGCCTGCAATTCAAAGGTGACAGAAAGAGAGCACCACAGAGGTGGAGATTGTGGGTTTGGCTACCACGCTAAGGTGCAGATTCTACGGAGGCATATGGCTATTTCACGGAACATCCTATTAATTTGAAATGGGGGGCGAGACGGGGTGGGGTGCAGAGATGAGTGGCTAAAAAAAGAGCAAAACTTCCCCAACTGACACTCTGCAGACCAAGGCCTCTAAATGGTCGTCATTAGATTTTCAACCTGGAAACTAACAGGTTAACAAAACAAGACCAACAAAAACCTTTTTTCACAGTTCCTTCAAAACGCTGCTTTTCAGTATGAAGGTCCGAGAATGCTAACACAGGAGATATTCATAATAGAGAATGCACATCAAATAAAAAAAAAAAAAAAAAAAAAAACGACAGGAACTGACGACTTAAATTTTGCATATTGCAAGACTTAACGGGAAACTGAAGCTGTTCTGTATTTGAGGAAGAACACCAAAATCGTCTTGATATGGCCTCCAGGATCACGAATATCGAGTTTATTTTTTCAATCTGGTGCATGGAGAAGCAGAAATTAATTTCTAAAGTACAGCTGAAGCCCCTCCTTCCCGGGGCGTGACGTCATGCTGGGAGTTTTCGGAAAATTGAATTTGTAAAAAGGTCAGAAATAAATTTGTAAAATTTATTTCTGACCTTTTCCTTGAATTTGAAAAAAGGTCAGAAATAGACGCCACAACTGGCGTCAGTGTGGAAAAATACAACTGGCAAGCTTGCAATTGCACGCGCCACCCACACGAGCGACACGTGCTTGGCGCCCCAAAGATCCTAGTACGACGTCACGGCTGCTCTGAGGTTTTTCGTGTTTTCTCGCGTCTAGTTACACCTTCGGGGAAAACGAAAGCGATATTCAGATTCACAGGACAAAAATACGCCAGAAGTCACCTATAACTCGTTTTTTTGTCCAGAAGTGTTTCAGTTTCCCTTTAATTGTCAACATATTTCAAAGATTGTGCTTGTCTATTGAGCTCCAATAGAGATACCATCAATTTAATAGCCAGTAAAAAATATGCATTACCGATGACCACCTTACACATCATGGCGTCCTTGAACCTTGACTTTCCTTGGTAGCCCAGAAGGGCCGGAGAACTGCTCCTGGACTTGCTTTGAGAACAGGCGTCCCACCATCTCTCGCACCACCTTCTGCAGGTTCTTGCTGTCTCCTAGAGACACGAGCTGCCCCTCCTAGAAAGACAAAATGTGTTCTCAATATGTCAATAAAGTTATTTATATGCATAACATGTCTCAAGTAAGAGAATGTGAATGCCCAGGTAAATGCAGCAAGCCACACTATACATGCATCAAAATTTTACCATATTTACTAGAGAGAGAATAAAAAAATATTAGAATATATGGCAACTCTACTTGTCTTAGACGAAACCAGAAAGATTAAAATATTTCCCTCCATACTCTGCTAAATCTCAATAGTCAGTCAAATTCGCTGCAACGTTCAAATTGTGCAAACGTTTTGATGGATCCTCTTTGCCCATCAGCATCCACTCAGTAATTTTAATAATGTATGTGGTTCTCAAAACAGTGCATTCAAGACCCTGCGCATCTTGACTTTGTTAAAGCTTAGTCTAGCTGCCGGTTAGTCACCCTGCAAATTTATCACCTATTTTACGACTTTACGAAGACTGGAATTGAAAAAGGCATAAAAAGGCAGGAATTGACCAAAACCGTCATCATAGTTGCAAAAAATGGCAACAGCAGCACAGTATGAGTAGTTACCTTTCCATATTTTTGTTTAGTGCTGACTCAGTGGTGGCCCTGTAGGCCAATGAACCAACTTACTCAGCTCAAGCTCGCCTCGTGTAATAATCGCTTGTGCGACTACCGTATGCTATGCCTGGAGACACAGCTACGCATGCACTCACACCCCCTGAATAAAGTGGCGGATGCAATGACAGTTACTCTTTCACCTTGGAAAATTTGATTTCCTCTCAAAGGGTGACCTTCGGTTAGGACTGGTTAACATCTCATTTTGGAAATGCACTACTAATGTAAAGTAAAGATGGATTAAGATTTATCTGGCAACCCCTTACAAATTTGTTTGGGCATACGCATGTGGTGGGCACGCTCAAAAGCGATTTTAGACCAGGCTAAAAGTTATTTTCAAGCATGTACCTTTACTTCTGTAGCAGATGCCGAAAGCGCAAATGAATTTATCGCCCTAAATATTTAGATCTCTTGACTATAGCCTCAAGTGAGAACAGGAACAAAACCAAAAGAAGCCCATAATATACTACAGCATCTCGATCCTTCTGTCAAGCAAGCATTAAAGGGGCACTGACACCCCAAAGGTCGTATTCTTTTTTATTGTCTAAAACGATGCAAGTTGTAGTCATAAACACGCAAAAAAAATCGCATCGCGAAAAAAAAATTTCCCCGCGCGCGCGCGTGCCTTTTTATTTTTGGCAGTTATATTTCCCGCGCTCACCTCCTTGCTTCTTTTGATCGGTGACGTCAAAAATCAGGAAATTTAGAAGCTTTGTAGGCGACCTTTCTATAACATTTAATAACGGCAATCGTAAAACATGTTTTTTAACGCAATTGCGAACGCACTACGGCCTTTCTTTTTGAAATACCGAAAATAAGATTTCGGAGTGATGTCGCTTCCTGGATTTGTATGCTCCCTCGGAAAACTTGGCGGCGCTCGAGCAGAGGATTATCGGCGAGTCGGGGACGAAACCGGTTTTTTTCCCGCGCCGGCACCCTTCTATCCCGCCTGCTCGCCTCCTCCTCGCTTCGGGCCGCGGTAGCAACGGCGCTTAGCTTCACAGCGTGGAGCGGAGGTCCGAAAGAAAGTCAAGTCGCAGGAGGCCGCAAAATTTGACTCACTGCACTGGCGCGGATCGCGCGGGAACTTCAAATTCGGCATTTGGAAATTGTTTTTTTGATTCAGAAATACTGAATTCCCAAGTTTCAAATTTTAAGGGTAATGTCCAGGCATCGCTTTCAATCGTTTCGGATAGTAAAATAAAATATGATTTTGATGTGTCAGTGCCCCTTTAAACACAAAAAGCACGCAGGCAGGTTTGTGCGTGCTCCACACACATACTCACGGCGAGAGTTGTTGCAGGTGCGGAATTTAACTTCTAAGGATAAAACGGGCAGAAGTGTCGTAGCAAATCAGCATGATTTATGATTATTTGCAGGCCGACATATTGTAAGCACCCAAAGGCAAATGTGTTAGGCGATTTTACTTCCCCCGTTGTGAAATGTTTTACTTAAAAATATTTCAAGAAGCGGCAGTTGAAAAAGACTTAAAATGCCGTTCAATGAGGATGCACATGAAGGCCTCTTGTCTACACGACCTTCGGGTGGAAAGAACTGTTCAAAAATGTAAAGATGCACAAATATTTAATTTTTGGTGGCCACCGTCCATCATTTCTCCCTTCAGTAGCCTCTATGAAACACAGTTTAACAATTGCAA